CACACACACACACACACACACACACACACACACACACACACACACACACGCATGAACATAGGCATATCATATTGAACCACTGAAAATTAAAGGAAAGAGAAAGTCTCAAAGGCAGCCTGAGAAAAGAAATTACACAGAGGAACAAGATATGAATTACAGCATATTTCTCATCAGAAACCATGCAGGAGAGCCAGTGGAGAATCCTGGCAGACATGGGATGCAGGTTAACATCTTAGGTGATGCACGGTGACACCACGTGCCCCTGATGGAATGCACTGAGGAGGCGTGTCCCCTCTGTAACCTTCTTCCCGACAGTAGAACAACTTTATCTGATCCTGAGAAAACACCAGATAAACCCACATGGAGGGGCTTCCAACAAAGTAACTGACGAGTACCCTTCAAAAGTGTCAAGATAGTGAAAGACATGGCGAGACCAAGGAACCGTCACAGACCGGAGGGGACTAAGGAGGCAGGACAACTCAATGCCATTGAGGATCCTGGACTCGATCCTGGAACAGAAAAAGTAATTGGCAGAAAAACTGGCGACATTTGAATAAATTCTGCAGCTTAGCTTGAGAAAAAATAGATGACTGGTTCGATATTGCCACATACGCTTAGTTCCAAATGATTGGCAAAGACGCAAAGGCCCAAGGAGTTAGGGAGGAGTGCTGGGAGAGTTCTGGGTGGAAAAAGGTGCTACAGGCTGTGCTTAATTTACTTAAGCAGATGGGGTCTGATCCAGACCTTGAAGGATCATTGCATAACAAGCAGTGGAAATGAACAGAGAAGGGATTTTGCAGGGGTGGGAGGAAGGGGTGCAGGGAAATGTGGAAAGACAAGTTTATCGAAGTTTTGGCAGTGGGCAAGTCAGAAACGTGTTGGGGATTTGCTGTGCAGGTTATCAAAGAGCGAATATCCTCATGGGTTTGTTGAGCAGTTAATATGGGCAAGTGGGCTGAGACCAGCACGTCATGCCTTCAAGTGCAGCCTCGTATCATAGTTGGTGTTTTTAACCACCTCGCTTTATGTCAAGCCCGTGCTTTAGAGGGTGGCTGTCAAGTACCTGTCATCCCTATTATATTAGAGAGTACAGCTCTTCGGGAAGCTTAGATCTGAATTCCCTGTGAATAAAGATAGCAATAGATATTTTATATTTATGGTGAGAATTTCAACCAGCTCTTGACCCCTTTTTAATAAAAATTCTTTGAATCACGTTAACCATTAAAAAATATATAATACTTGGTTCTTTTTGGTTTATGAAATATCTCTGTTAACGTGAAAGTAAGTAATTTAGAGTTACGATTAAAGTGAACATTCGCCTACTGCAAAAAAAATGGCACTGCAAATGATGCTTTAAACTGAAGGCCCTGGAGAACCACTAAAAGCTTATAAGTAGGGAGGGAAATGTTATGAAACCTCCATTTTATGGAAATGAATCTGGCCAGGGTGGGCTGGCCATGCGGGATGGCGGGAAGGCTGGATGGCAGAAGACAGTAGAGGTAGGCGGCTTCTGCGATGGTCTAGGTATCCAGTTCCCGGGTCAAGCAATGATCAGGCATCAATTGTCATGGAGAACGGATGAAGGGACAACACCTTTCCAAACTCCTCGGGTTTTCTCAGGTAACAACACTAATCCCCACACTGGCTCCGGGTGGGATAAGTCCTGCCCCAGGCTGTGAAATGAGAGCCCTTAGAACTTCCCTGGAAGTGAAATCCTTCTCGGATATAGAAAACCGGATTTTTCATTTGTTTCTGCCATCATCCATTAAAGAAGGGCAAGAGACCAGGGAGAGAAAGTGATTCGGGAGCTGTGCTTGCCTGTTTCCCAGCTGAGACCCTAGTGTGGGTGTCTGTCCACACAAGCTGGCTGTTTGGAGAGGTCTGTGGCTACCACCCTATCCCAACTCAGAAACATAACAAAAACAAAGACAGAAACCACTCTCTTAACTCCCAACGAAACTGCACCTCCTATAAATGCTTGTGTGCTGATATATTCATGACTAGCTGTTCTGGGCCTATACCAAGGGGACGAGGAGGGAGCCAGGAGGGGGTGGAGGGAAAAGACAGAGTCACCTATTCACAGGGGTGCTGTGGGCTCTGCTTGGGTCCTGGTCTGGGAATCAAAGTTCCTGTCCCTATTGCTTTGTCCTTCTAATGAGAATTAGACTCTGGAGGTTCCTGTTAGGCACCAACTTGCAGGACTCCCTGAAAATACTCTCAGTATCACATGCCTGCATGTACATCTAAATGGCATTTCCCATTTCATAAGATAAAATATTGGAAAATATTTGTATAAATAATGCACCATGGTTTACCATTCTTCAAAGAACTCCACAAGAAGGCAATCCGTGACATCGAACAGATGAGGAAACCCGTGTAACAGCCCACGTTTGTAAGAGCAAACCAATTCACAGAAGGTAGAATTGAGACCCCAAGAGTCTCGTGATAGGGCTCTAGTGTCCCCAGATTTCTGCCACTGATTCCATTCTTCTGTGGGTTCAGTGGCTGAGAAGCCAGCACGGGGGACATTTGGGCGTGTCGTGTGGGGATTGATACCCCATTGTGTCCACCCCCGCAAGCCAGCCGTTTACCTTCACTGCCAGCAGAAAGCCTCACCTTCCCTACTTGGAGGGCGTGTTGGCAGGACCCCATTCAACGTCCATTAATTTCATCTGGAGGTCGCTGCTCATGGGAACACTGACCTGGTTGATTTTCCTCTTTCTCCTAGTTTTCTAGTTCCCCTCAGCCCGGGCCACTGCTTACGGGCTGTTGTTAGGACACACGTGGCTGGCCCCCATCCCAGCCTTACCCTTCTCTCTCTTTCCTCCTTGATCTTGCCCCTCAACCTGCCTCGTCCACTGCCATTTTCTCTCCTTCTCCACTGTCCTTTTACCCGTGCCCTCTGCAAAGACTCTGGGAAAAGCTCATTGTTGGGTGGCAGGATTCTGATGACCCCACTGGGGTTATGATGTCAGCATTTGGTGGCGCTCAGGGGAGGAGAGAGAGGGCTCAGTAAGGCTGCTGCGTGGAGCTGGTTGGAGGTCAGCACTGGATCCAGAAAAGAACCTAGTCAACGCTGGGGCTGATTGAAAGCTTGGAGCACAATGTGACCAAATTCTTCCATGAGATCAGATTTTGCCTGGCTGAATTCTGAGTTATAAAAAGCTAACTAGAAGGGACTTTTCTTTCACTCTAACAAAGTGAGAAAACATTGAGAGAGGAATTAGCATATCCATTTTTTATAGAGCACGAGAATTTGGTGTTATCTACTAAGTATACTAGTAAGATATTTATATAATAGACCTTTTTGCAGAAAAAGCATCAATTCCAAGAAATTTAAACTATATAGGAACCCTTTGAAATGCCTAAGTCACGGACAAAAATGACGAGTAATTACAGGATACAATTGTTTAAGTATCATCCATCAACTAAAAGTAGTTTTAAATGGTGATAAACTGGAAAGTTATTATACAGTTAGACTGGAATCCTTTGAAATATGACAATACCGCTACACAGCGTTAGACGTCTTTGCTCAGGTGTGACACTGTGAACTCAAACTTTTAGCTGAATCTCGAGGACCACCTTTGCACCCAGTCTTTATACCGGTGCTTAGGGTTATAGTGGGATTGTTTTCTCACAAGCAATTTCTTTAGGCATGACCAGAACGCCTACCACCAGATGTTAAACATCAGAGTAGAAGGTAAAACTTGGAAATATTGGTTCACAAACCATGGGCCTTCTCATTCTTTGGGAAAATCCAGAGTTACAGCCAGAGTTGGTCTTCCGGATGTACACAACCCGCTCACCCCTTCCCATGTCTTCTTCAGATGGTGCTTTTGAATCTTAATGGAAAAGTCGCGTCTGTAAGACCAATTCTTAACAAGGAACAGAATTGTTCCTTCCGTCTCTAGCTCGTGGTAGCTTGGATAGATTTGTGGTTAAGGTAGAGTCCTGAAAAGGATGTTCTAGTGTTAAAAGGCTGAGCAGTAGGTCCCAGTAGCTGCGTGGGATTTGTACATTGCTCTGTTGACTTGTCACCATGCAACCCAGCACGTTTCAGGAAGTCATGTGCAAATCTAGCACATTCTGTCCTGTGTAAGAGAATGCCATTGGAAGCAGCAGCATCTAAGCTATCTACAAATCATGTCAACCAAATATGAGGCTCTTCTTGTAGTTTCTCCAGATCATGTCAACGCAGCCTTACCAAAGTTTGGAGGCTAAAAAACGTTAACTCGCTTCTTAAATTGTGATTCTCATCTTTAAAGTGTACGGTTTTCTACTGAGATATGAAGCCAGCATATGCATGGCCACAAGATTGCAGCCTCTGTGCCCCTCTGCCAGCCTCAGGAGAAGAAGATCCCGAAGCTTCACACTCCCCCAAACCTGTGGTATTGGGCTGTGCAGATAGATGACTGTTAGCCTGAAACAAAGGAAGTCATTTTTCGTGGTTTTCTCTGCAGATCACGCCACACTCAACAAAACCACATTCGGTGCCACCTTCATACTTGAGCTCCGGATGGCACCCGCCTCTCTGGAAGGAACGACCCACAACCTGAAAGGTGAGGCCAAACCACTCTCTAATAACAAAAGCTGTTTAACCTGCAAAAGAAAACCCATTGAGGGGGGAACAGGAGATGGAAAAATGGCGGCCTAATGCGAGGATAGGATCATATCTGCCCGCAGATTCCAAAGGATCTGAAGGATGAAAGTAGGTGGATTTGTGATCGTGATAAAAAGACCGAAGGAGACAGGTAAGGCGTGTACAGAGACCGTCTGGGCTGCGTCTGGAGCCTGGGAGCTCCCAGCTGGATCCCCACTTGGAACAGGGCTGTGGAGGATTCTGAACGGGAGTCAGATCCAGAGTGAACTGCCGGATCTTTCGCATAACCAGTTTGAGAATTCTGGGCTTAGCCTCGCTGTGTCCCACCCGAGCAGCCCGCAGAGGAATGGTGGTCTGTGTAGAGGTGGGCAGGTCGGGCTCAAGACGCTGCCACCTGATTCTTCGGCTCCTGGAGTGAATTAGCTGCTCTCCACCTCCACCCCGCCCCCCAAAGAGGATGACCTGGTTCTAGGGAAGCTCTATGTTGGGTAAAACAGAGGTGAACGAGGCTTCTGCCCCAAGAGGAGAAAAGGGCCAGGGACACTCTGTCTAAAGGGATTCTGAGAGCAAGCTGGTTCCAAAAGCTAATTCTGAGTTTTAGATCTGCACCTGGTCCAGCGCTCAGGTTGCATCTGTAAGGTAACCCATGTCCCCAGAGGGAAAGTGGCCCTCCCCAAGCTCCACACTAAAGTTGATCTGGGGGACTTCCCTGGTGGCACAGTGGTTAAGAATCTGCCTGCCAATGCAGGTGACACGGGTTCAAGCCCTGGTCCGGGAAGATCCCACATGCCGCAGAACAACTAACCCCGTGCACCACAACTACTGAGCCTGCACTCTAAAGCCTGCGAGCCACAACTACTGAGCCCACGTGCCACAACTACTGAGCCCACTCACCGCAACTACTGAAGCCCGCGAGCTTAGAGCCCGTGCTCCACAACAAGAGAAGCCCCCACTCACCGCAGCTAGAGAAAGCCCACGCACAGCAATGAAGACCCAACGCAGCAAAAAAAAAATTTTTTTTTTAAATTTTGTTAAAAAGCTTTAAAAAAATAAATTTGACCTGGGTCTTGGCCACACTCTGTGATTTTTTCCTCCCCAAACAGTAAGGACATTGGCCCAGTAAAAGAATCGCACAGAACTTTCTGGAATCTGAGGTTTCCTGGGCAGGGTGTGGTTCTGGGGAACTGGAGACCTGGGTTCTGGTCTGTGTTCTGCCACTTATAAGACCCTGCAGATGTCGCCTCAGTCTCCACATCAGAAAGAGAGGAAGTGGGAATAGAGGACCGTCAGCTCTGGCCTGTCATCTACACATCTGTGCTGTGACTTCCTAGGTACAGACAGTCCTGCATCGTCACCCCTGCCCAAGCCCCCAAACACACATGCAGTGTGATGATACCTGTCAGTCCTGGGCCCATGACACCCCAGGTCATCTCCGTTCATTTCAGAGGACATTGAGGTAGTTTCAGAAGAAGAAATTAATGTGATTCCACTTTAATTTTAAACTATAACACCCGCACCCAATATTCTCCTCTCCTGTCTCCCTCCCCGGGGGATGTGTAAGTGAAGGTTTGGGCATCACTAACCTAATTAGAGGAAATTCTGAGCAGAGTGGGGCATACTCAAGACAAAGAATCAGTTGAGGGTTTCTTGAATTTCCAATGGGAGGCAGGGACTGGGGGCTGGGCAGACAAAGATTTATCCCGGTCCCAACACTGCTCAGTTTCAGTTCTCTTCTGTCACTCTGTGCTCTGTAGCATCGAACCCACCGCGGTACGACTTGCTCCACTGATGCTCAGCTCAGCTGCAGTGTCCTCAGGAGACTCACAGACAGGTGGATCAGCTAGAGAGCATCTGAATGGGAAACGGTTCTCTGACAGACACACGTGCCCGCTTCTCCAGCATCAAACGTCTGACTGCGTGTCTGCTGTCCCGGCTGCTCTGGCTCCACTATTTCTCCACACAGTCTAAGCTCCAGCTGCGCTGGATCATTTTCCTGTCTTTGTGCTTGTCCTGTTGCCTCCTACCACCAGGGCTTTGTACCTGCTGTTCCCCCTGCATGGAATCCTCTCCCCTCTTCACCTGGTTAACCACTGCTCATTCTTCAACCTTAGTTCAAGCATCACTAACGTCCCCATCTATGTCAGTTCTCCCTGTTCGACACTCACAGTGCTCTGCATATCTTCCACTCAAAGTACTGAGCATAGTTTAAATGCTCCATCTGTGTGTGCAATTACTGTAAAATCTCTCCCCAGCAGACAGACTCTGCAGGAAGGAAAAGGCCATTTCTGTCTAAATATCTAGCACCGTTTCTGGCACTTAGTAGGTGCTCAATAAATATTTTGAAATGTATGCATAATTATTATATAGGGGTCATAATGCCTGGTTGCAAATATATATATTCATCCTAATAAAAATAGACTAACTAGGGATGCACCGGTGTTAAAGGTCCCAGTGCCCTTATCATGAATGAGGCAGGAGGGAAGTCACAAAGAATGCACCCATCTACGCAACCAGCCATTTCTCTTTTTTACAATAAAATATTTTATTAAAGTCAATAAATCTAAAATATTACCATTACAACCGGTGATCAATATTAGAATTACTAGTGAAATATTTTACGTTCTTTTCTTTTATACTGTCTTTGAAATCCAGTATGTGTTTTATACTTGTAACACACTTAGGTCTGGACCAGCCACATCTCAGCTGCTCAGGAGACACACGTGGCTGGTGGATACCGTACTGGAAAGCTCAGGTTTGACATGTCCTGAACCAGCCATTTCTGAGTGCTTACTCTCTGCTAGGTACAGTGGGGGGTTAACGATTAAGAGATGCCTCTGTCCTCAAAGAGCTCAAGATAAGTCGATACACAGTGTGTCCAGCAAGAGAAAACAAACACAAACAATTCAGAACAGGATGCCCACTGGGGTGGGAGAAGGATTTGGTGAAAGGGAGGATTGGGAATACACACTAAAATGAGACGTTCATAGAACGTTTCTATCTATCAGAAGTGAGCAAGGAGCCCTGGGACATCTCCATAAAACCTAAGCATTCACTGAACAGGGAATGATCATTCTCTGTAAGATTCTAATTAAATATATTATTGTTGGAGTTGACTGTGCTGGTGCTTGGCACTAGTCCACCCAGGACGTGTACGGCAGAATGGGGCTATCGTGATTCAGGCTAAGAAACGCAATCGGCTGTAAGAGATATGCAGTGCATTTCTAGATAGGAACACAGTGAATGTCATCGGACACGCGCAGAATAGCTCCATTAACAATGCTGAACAAGGAGGAAAATCCTGGGGCAGGGTAGCAGGTGAAGCAGAACAAACACGGGTGTGTTTATTTTCCCTTTACTTCCAGACACTGCATCTCATTAAATCTCAAGGCAACTTCAGAACTTAAAAACTTACAACAGTGAAGAGAGAGAACAGGAGGGCCATCTTCTGTGGAAAAGACATCTAATCAAATTTGGAAGGTGAAAGCAAAGGGAAAGGTTGAGTAAAGAAAGAACGCAGAGCACAACGGCTTAATCTCCAAAATATACAAACAGCTCATACAACTCAATAACAAAAAAAGGACCCAATCGGAAAATGGGCAGAAGACTTTAATAGACATTTCTGCAAAGACGAAATACAGATGGCCGGTAGGCACATGAAAAGATGCTCAACATCACTAATTATTAGAAAAACGCAAATCAAAACTACAGTGAGGTACCACCTCACACCAGTCAGAATGGCCATCATTAAAAAGTCTACAAATAACAAATGCTGGAGAGGGTGTGGAGAAAAGGGAACCCTAGAGCTTCCTTGGTGGCTCAGCGGTTAAGAATCTGTCTGCCAAGGCAGGGGGCACAGGTTCGAGCCCTGGTCTGGGAAGATCCCATATGCCGCGGAGCAACTAAGCCCATGGGCCACAACTACTGAGCCTGCGTTCTAGAGCCCGCGAGCCACAAATACTGAAGCCTGTGTGCACATGCTCTGCAACAAGAGAAGCCGCCGCAATGAGAAGACTGCTCACCGCAACGAAGAGTAGCCCCCGCTCGCCACAGCTAGAGAAAGCGCAGCTATGAAGACCCAGCCCAGCCAAAAATAAATAATAAATAAAAATAAATAGACTTATAAAAAAAAAAAAAGAAAAGGGAACCCTTCTACACTGTTGGTGGGAATGTAAGTTGGTGCGGCCCCTATGGAAAACAGTCTGGAGGTTCCTCAGAAAGCTAAAAATAGAATTACCATATGATCCAGCAATCCCACTCCTGGGCATAATCCAGACAAAATTATAATTCAAAAAGATACATGCACCGCTATGTTCATAGCAGCACTATTCACAACAGCCAAGTCATGGAAACAACCATGGATGTCCATCGACAGATGAATGGATAGAGAAGATGTGGTACAGATATACAATGGAATACTACTCAGCCATGAAAAAGAACGAAATAATGCCATTTGCAGCAACATGGATGCAACTAGAGATTATCATACTAAGTGAAGTAGGTCAGAAAGACAAATACCATATATCACTTAGATGTGGAATCTAAAATATGGCACAAATGGACCTATCTACAAAACAGAAACAGACTCACAGACACAGAGAACAGACTTGTGGTTGCCAAGAGGTGGGGGGGGCGGGTGGGGGAGGGATGGATTGGGAGTTTGGGATTAGCAGATGCAAACTAGTATATATAGGATGGATAGACAACAAGGTCCTACTGTAGAGCACAGGGAGCTATATTCAATATCCTGTGATAAATCATAACGGAAAAAATATTAAAAAAAGAATGTCTACATGTATAGAACCGAGTCACTTTGCTGTACAGCAGAGATTGGCACAGCACTGTAAATCAACTATACTTCAATAAAAAGTAAATAAAATTTTAGAAAAAGAAATAGCACGGAGCAAGTTACAACCTGGAATACCTGCAAGGGGGCTGCAGCCAAGGGAGGGGCTACCTGCCCAGGAGACCCTCAAACAGGTGCCGGAGCCAGAACCACACTGTTCCCCGGGTAACCACCGGCTCCCTGACTGGTTAGAGTGAACCCCAGCCATGGGAGTTTCCAGGCAACCTTCCTACCCCAGGCATACAGTCAACTGCCAATCACCAGACATTTGAGGAAACTCTGCAACACGCAAGAGAGAGAATGACAGACAGGGGGAATCCTGACTCCAGAAGAAATAAAAATAATGAAGGGAACAGAAGAGAAATTAATAGGAAGAAATTCCCAAGTTCAAATCTCAGAGAGATCTGGGAAGTTATTTCATTCAGAAAACAAAAAACACGAGAATGCCATGAAAGAGAAAAAGACTGGAGAACAAAAAAGAATCTGTTAAAGGAAAAATTTGATTGCCAAAAATAATCATAACAAAAGTAGAAGATTAAGTGAATGAAACATACCAGTTGTAGACCAAAAAGCTGGGCTATACGAGATAAGAGAGACAGAGGGGAACTTCATGGGTCTCCAGTCACCACTCTTTTATCTGTTTTCCATTTTCCTTTAGTCTGTTGACATACTTAATCTGGGGATATTCATTAGCTTACAAGTATGTTGTCCACTAGGACAGTACAGACGTGTGCTCCAAGGTCTAAGCAGAATGAATGAGACATGATCCACTGCTGGGCACATCACTGTGAAGCTTCAGGACATAGAGGATTAATTGAAGACCCTAAAAACTTACAGGTAGAAAATAGTAATAGTAGGTCACCCAGGAAGGAGCAAAAGTCAGACTGGCATAGAGGTAACATTGGTTATTAGAAGTCAGTGAAACAATGCATTCAAATTCTGTGAAAAATTAATATCAACCTCAAATGCTAATTCCAACCAAACTATCAAATGTCAAGTGAAATTAAAAAGGAGATTCAGACAGGCAAGGGCTCGAAAACTTATCTTCTATCTCCCTTTTCTGGGAGGTTACATGAAAACAAAACTCCAGTTTGCTTATTTTTAAAGACTGAACTAAGAAGAAAACAAGGATCTGGGTAAAGGTGGATGTAGTGAGAGCCTCCCAAGATGACAGCTCTGGCAGAAGACTGAGAGCGAGCAGGAAGAGAGATTTCCTGCAGAGAGAGGTCATAGGAAAAAAAAGGACTCCTGCACAGAGAGCTGAGAGTTTGGAAAAATTAGGGAATGTGATAAAAGTACTAAGTGCAAGGAATAAATGAAAAGAATTAGAAACTACTGAATGGGAGAAACTTCTTATAGAGGCAACATGTTGCAGTGCTTAGGAATAAAGTCTCTGGAGCTAGAAGATGTGGGTCTGAATCCTAATCCTGCCATTTATCAGCTGTGTGACCTTGAGCAAGTGGCTCAACCTCTCTGTGCTCATTTTCTCATCTCTCAACTGGAGATAATAAGACCAACTTACAGAACTACTGTAAGGAAGTAAATGAGTTAATTTTGTAATACTCTTAGGAGAGAACCTGTCACTTGGTAAGCACCATATAAAGTTTGTTAAATAAATAAGAAAACCGAAGTGCTATATGAAAATCATGGTCATCCAAATAAGATAAATAGATCCCAATTAAAACAAGTTAATGGGCTTAAAAATAAAGACTGTGATAGTTTCCAAGTGATAGACTAAAGTAAAAGCTCAAGGATATTGTGTGTGTGTGTTGTGGGAACGGAGGGCAGGGGAGAAAGGACGGGCAGGGAATGGGAAGCACAAATTTTTCCTGCTAACAAGGAAAAAGAAAGGCAAACATAACTTCCAGGAAAAACACACCTCTCCCCAAGAAAAACTCTCTATATAAGAAAGGCAGAGTCTGAATAAAGAACAAACTAAAACAGGATAAGATTATACATAAATGGCAGAGTATAAAAAAGGAGGATGCATTAGCATATGAGAATCAGCTAGTTTCTCCTTTATCAGCAACTCCATAGGATAAGGTGCAAAGAAGATACGTAAGTAGTTGGCTTTAGTCGTGAGTCAGCATCTCCTAGTTGATTTTCTAGAAAATAGGCACATGAAGCACTTGGATAAAATTTTTCAGAAATTAATTTAAATCTAACCAAAAGCCACTTCCTTTCTGCACAAAATGTGCTCTCCATCCAAGAAGACGTTTTAAATCCTGTCCTTTTTCAAACTGAAAGATAAGAAAGAAAAGGAATAAGAAAAATATGGTTCCAAGTAACTGTGCCAGGATAATCTAGAATTCTGAGAATTGCTGCTTTTGTTAGAAATGGGGCAATCAAAGCACAGGTTGGCCAAGAGGGAGGCTTCACGTGACTAACTGTGCCACATTCCCTCGCCTGAGTTAGACGGGTTACGCAGTTTGGGTGAACATTTCATTGCTCGACTCTCCCTCCAGAACTCGGGGCCTTTTGCCTTGAATGAACCTCCATGTGTACAGGGATGGGTATGCTGGTGTGTATTTGGGGGATTTCTGCATCCCACGGCCAGACCAAGATTCTTCAGACTGAGAGCTGGACCTCCAGGAAAGCCTTCCCTCAGACACTCCTCGGGTCCATGAAGAATTCATCACTGGCTTCTCTGTACTAACCAGCCCACATGGAACTCCGTCACGGCACATTTCACAGAGCCTTGTCGCTGCGTCATTTCGTATGCCCCTATCTCCTCTACTGGTTGGTGAGCCCTTCAAGCAAAAGACCAGCCACGACGCACTCATCAGTGTACCCTCGTGCCTAGAACATTTATTTGCACAATAAGTAGGAGACAGAGACAGGGACAGGGACAGAGAAAGAGACAGACAGGCAAAGACAGAGATTTTGAGTCCTACTCTCTTGCCCTGTTGTACCTTCCCTTCGTTTGGGTTTTCTCATCACTAAGCATTTTTGGAATTTATGAACCTATCTTCTAAGGATAAAACATAAAAATTACCAAAAGCTGTGACAGTAGAGGTTCTGATTGGAAACCCACCTATGTGACCTTGCCCACCTCCCCTGGCCACACACACTCCCTGGGTGATTTTGTCCCCCTTGGAGACTTCAGCAATACTGTTGACCCACAGATCGGTATCTCCAGTCCTGATCTTGCCTCTCAGCTCCAGACCGAACATCCAGCTACCTTCTGGAAACCTCCATTTGGACTGTCCACCACGCACTTCAGCTCAACCAGGCTGACGATGACCTCCTAAATGGCCTCCCTGCCTCCAGCCCCATCCCATGACTACCCTGGAACAGGGCTGCAGATGTGACATGGCACTGCCTGCTTAAGGCCCCTCAATGCCAACACCCCGCATTACCATTATTTGTAGGATAAAGTCCAAGGTCTTTAGAAAAGCAAGTGAGGCCCCCTGTCATGAGCACCCTGCTCCCTTCTCCTCCACTGTCACCTCCCACTCTTCCCTTCTTTCAATCCCACCACCCAGTTCTCACCTCCGTGCCTGGCTAGCTTACACCTCTTTCAAGACTCTGCATAAGACCTACTTCCTCTTAGAGGCATTTTTCTGAATTGCTTCTAAACTCTCTACCCCACCCCTCCAAGCTGATTTCCAAGCCGTCTTCTCTTCTACACAATGCCTGGTGGTGAACAGCAAGCACTCTGTGGTCACGATCGGATGAACTCCCAACGTACAGCCAAGGAACTAAAGCTCAGAGAAGTTAGGGAACCTGCTCGATGTCACACGTACTCTAAGGGGCAGATGTGACCAGAACTTTGGACTCCACATCCAGGTCCCCTGCTTAGATGGTAAGATTTTCTGTAATTTCGCCCTTGCAGCAGAAACTTCCTATTTCACATCCCCTGTCCATCGCTTCCTGTCTTGTTACCGCGCGAGCTCTGTGATGGGCAGCAGAGGCTCAACGGACGCCTTTCCTAGACTGCCTGCCTTGTAACCATGGCCATTGCCCTGCACCTTGGGCCAGAGGCTGGGCCTGGAAACCCGGTGGCCATGGGCTCCAGCCCCCAGGTCTGCAGAATGGGACTTGGCCACAGAGAATGGCAGCCTCAGACCACCTCGTGATGGCCAGCCTGCCCGCCTACCCACAGGCGGAGTGACTCACTTACCGGGACCTCCTGCCCTTCCTCTCCTCCATAGAGGACGGCTCCCCTCACTCCAGGCTCAGAGGCCACTAGCTGCCTGCCCTGCTTAAGATTCCTGGCCTCTGATTGGGCCCCGTCTCTGCCAATCCACTGGGAAGTATCAGTAGAGCTTGCGGTCCTCCCAGCGTCGCCGGGGCCAGGCCTTCCTCGGCAGCCTTCTTCATTCACTTAACTGGAGCCCCTGGATTCGTCTGAGGAAGAATCTCTCCCTCTGCCTGGCCCTGCACTAGGCCTCTCGGTCCACACTCTGACCAGAGTCTCTCTCCACACTGAGCTCTTTGAGAGAGACACCAAGTGTTACTTTTAATCTACATCCCCAAGGTTTAGGACAGGCCAAAGTCAGGACAAATAAGTCTTCAGGCTTTATCACTTCCTCCCTGGATTATTCCAAAAGCCTTTCCTTGAGCTGTTCCAAGTCTCTTCTCCACAGGAAAGGATCCCAGGCTTAAAATCTATGGGGTAGAGCAAGCTGTATGAAGTTGCTGAACTTAGGCAAGGTGAGGGCGAGATGAACATACTGTGAGAAAAGAACCAGGATGTAGCAAAATCAAAATATCCCCCCAGACTACAGAGGCTCAGCGAGCCAGATTCACGAGCAGAACCTGGAAGCTGGCATGGGCATGGGGGCGGCGTGGTGCTGGCCCTCGGGCTGCTGAACATGGGGTCTAGGGAGACCCTAAAAGAGCAGGGAGCAAAGCACTAAGTACAGTCACAGAGACAACCTGAAGGGCCCAGCTGAGGCTTGGGGACCAGGCACAGGGCAATGACAAAAGGGGCCAATGGGTACAGGAGGAAGAGGCAGAATCTTCAGGAGGGCTTTGAGGGGTTCAGGGGCAGCCGCAAGGGCTCTTATTAAATAAACGTGACAGTCCGTTAAGGGCAAACAAATGGCATGAACCTGATATGAACATTTTCCTGTTGGCACTAGGGAGCCATTGAATGCTTTTTTTTTTTTTTTGCGGTACGCGGGCCTCTCACTTTTGTGGCCTCTCCCATTGCGGAGCACAGGATCCGGACGCGCAGGCTCAGCGGCCATGGCTCATGGGTCCAGCCTCTCCGCGGCATGTGGGATCCTCCCAGACCGGGGCACGAACCCGTGTCCCCTGCATCGGCAGGCGGACTCTCAACCACTGCGCCACCAGGGAAGCCCCATTGAATGCTTTTTAATCAGGGAGGTGACAAAATCAGATCTATGCGTGGGAGAGGTTGGCTCGCAGGGAGAAGAGGTTAGAAACTAGCCATAATGTTCTTAGCTTCATCTGGGACTCATCAAACCTTTAGAAAAGGCTACAGGCCAACTCTGAAAGCTTCAGTCGAATGGCAGAGTCCTGGTTTGGGGACTGCGTGTATCCATGGCAATAAACCAGTTTGTCAAAGAGTATTTTCTCTCATCTTGAAATGTCAAAGTATTGATATAATTAGGGCATTCATAGCAACTCTACTCACATTAATGTTTGAAGACCATACATTTCGAATCCATCCAGGGTCTCTCATTATTGGAATCTGGAAAACAAAAACATTAGAAATTACTTAATGGGAATGTTCTGTAATTAGTGGTAGCGATTGCACACCCTTGTGAATACACTAAAAACCACCGAACTGTACACTTTTACACGGTGAATTTTACGGTGTGTGAATTATATCTCAATAAAAAAAAGGAAATGCAGTAAGAAGAAGGATGTGGTGAGGTTTTTTCTGAACACACTCAGAGTGTGAGGTCTTGGTAAGAAACGACACATCGTGAGGTCATAAATCTCCCTCTCCCACTCCTTTACTTCTCTGTGGTCTCCTCCTTCCCAGAGCACATGGACCTATTGGGGAAACGTCAGGAGATAAGGCAACATGGAAAAATGATGGGATTTGGAGTCCGAAGACATGCTTTCACGTGCTGCCTCTACTGTTTCTTGGCTGTATGACTGCACAGGGCTAGTTTTCTCTGTAAAATGGGCATAACAACAACCCTGGAATGGACGGGTGTGTAGTGAGCATTCACTGAGTCTATTCCAGTGAAAGGGCAAAGCCTCATGCACGGATGAGCTGTTAAGACTGTTGGTATGAAATTACCCAAGCAAGTAGGACCTGCACAGTCTGCTTTTCCAACAGGGGCCCCCATTAGAGCTCCCAGCCTAAGGGATGTGATACGTTTTCATAGTCCTTAAACTATGCTTAAGTTATACTCAGAAACACATATGTTCTGGGACTTCCCTGGTGGCGCAGTGGTTAAGACTCTGTGCTTCCAATGCACGGGGCCCGGGTTTGATCCCTGGTCAGGTAACTAGATCCCACATGTGTGCTGCAACTAAGAGTTCACATGTCACAACTAAGGAGCCCACGGGCCACAACTAAGACCCAGCACAACCAAACAAACAAATAAATAAAGTAAAATTTTAAAAAACCATATATGTTCTGAGTGCAACTAAAGCAGCCCAGAATCAACAACCCTTGAAGCCCCTTACTCCTATTTCCCTCATCCTCTCATCCCCTTGCCCATCACCCTACCTGCTATTCATCTACGGCATTTAGCTTTTCCAACCCATATTGTTGATTGACAGGTAATTACTGGTGTTGCTTTACCTGATGGTTCATTTAGTTTCTCGCAGGGGCCAAGTGCTTTGCTAGGTAGTGGGAGCACAGGGATGAGTAAAATAGAAATCCTGTCCTTGAGTCACTCATGATCTAGTGGGGGGCAGGCAGGAAGACATGCAGAAAAGGTTTTCATGGCCAGGACCACCACCAAGACATGCCCAGGGTCGGGTGGGAGCCTGGGAGGGAGGCAATAGTTTGCTTGCAGGGAACATAAGGAAGGTTCTGCGCCATCCACAGAAGGTGACATCTGAGCTGCTTCTGAAGGATAAGTGGGGCTCTCTGAGGAGAGAGGAGGAGAAATTCCATTCCAAGCAGAGAAGAGGGTGTGTTCAAAGAAACAAAGGCACCACACATATGTTTGGGGAACAGCCAGGAGCGCCCAGGACTGGAGAATATCCCATCATGTGCAAGTGATACAGAGCAGGCCCGGGATGGTCTGCAGTCAGGAGACATGGGTAGAGTGGGGTCATTTTTTTAAAAAGTTTCTTTTTTTTAACAAATGCCCTCCTTAAACAAAACCTTTTGCAGAAGCCCGTATGTAAATAGAAGGGGAATGGGGCTTCCCTGGTGGTGCAGTGGTTGAGAATCTGCCTGCCAATGCAGGGGACACAGGTTCGAACCCTAGTCTGGGAAGATCCCACATGCCGTGGAGCAACTAAGCCCGTGCGCCACAACTACTGAGCCTGCGCGTCTGGAGCCTGTGCTCCGCAACAAGAGAGGCCGCGACAGTAAGAGGCCCGCGCACCGCGATGAAGAGTGGCCCCCCTTGCCAGAACTAGAGAAAGCCCTCGCACAGAAACGAAGACACAACACACCCAAAAATAAAAATAAACAAATTAAAAAAAAAAAAAGAAGGGGAATGCTGTGGTCATTTCAGGAAGAGGCCTGGAGTCCCCAGGCTTGGTTGCAGAGCCCTGGCTTCAGAGAGTACAGTTTGAGAACGATGACTGTACACGATGGGGAGCTACCAAGGGGCAGGATGGTCAGGCCTGTGTTTTACAGGATCACTCTGACATCTGTGTTTTGGACGCAGAGAAGCAAATTTAAAGGCTTTTTTTTTTTTTTTCCCTTAGCCGCGTAGCTTGTGGGATCTTAGTTCCCCAACCAGGGATTCAACCCCCAAGCCCTCAGCAGTGAAAGCGCGGAGTCCTAACCACTGGACGGCAGTGGAATTCCCCCCTTTTTTTTTTCTTTGAAGCCTATTCTAGGGTGTGAAGGAAGGTGGTGACAGTGCAGGGGAAGAGGAAGGGGCGGCTTTGAGCGCTGCCTAGTGGGAGAGGCCCCCGGGCTTAGTGATTGACTCGGATGGCCGGGTGGGTGAAGAAGAGGGAGATTTTGAGGATGACTGAAGTTTCTGGCCTGGGTGACTTGGTAGATGATGGTATCATTAAGCATCAACCAATGAGGAAAACTGAAAGGGTAAATTTGGGGAGGACTCTTAGAGTATTCTGGAACATCTGTAATAAAAAGGATAGATTTTCCTCTAAGACAGAACCCGAAAAAGAAGGTAGATGTGAGTTAAGGAATTCTATTCAAGTCCAGATCCTGGTAGGGAGAGCGGGCAAGGCGATTGGTTTCTGCATCTATAAATTGCTTAATATAGTAAATATTTCAGTCCTGGTTTCAACCAATCAATGCATTTGAAACACTTCTGGAAGTCCAGTTACTACCTCCATTTTAGCTCCTCTAGAGTATTAGAGCATTCTGCAAAAAATCATGCCACTTGGGTACAGATGTTCTGAACCACCCAACTCAAATTCCTCATGGGACACAAACATAGTCACACGCCCGCCAGCACTCGCTGGGTACAACAGTTGCACGGATTTTACACTTACGAGGCAGGCTAGGAAGACTGGCAACAGTTTAAATTCACAATGCTTGGATTTGGTCCCAATTAAAAAGGAAGTTTCTAATCAAATACCAAATATATTTTTTGCTGCCATGGGAGCAATGACTCTGAGCCCCCAGAAATTTGCTTTGATTTCAGAGATTAAAAATAAACACAAGAACACCAAAAATGGTGAACCCGTGTATTTCAACAGTCATTTCTCTCAAAGCTAAGAAGAAAATAATCTCATTCCACCCCACAGCTATTTGTCTGTTGTCATTCAAAATTCTAACGCAGGGCTTCCCTGGTGGCGCAGTGGTTGGGAGTCCACCTGACGACGCAGGGGACGCGGGTTTGTGCCCCGGTCCGGGAAGATCCCACATGCCGCGGAGCGGCTGGGCCCGTGAGCCGTGGCCGCTGAGCCTGCGCGTCCGGAGCCTGTGCTCCGCGGCGGGAGAGGCCACAACAGTGAGGGGCCAACGTACCACAAAAAAAAAAAAAAAAATTCTAACGCAAAATTTGAAGCCCAACCTTTGGTCCCTGGGCACCAAGCAGTTAGCAACCATGGGGGAAGCCAAAAATGAATTTGGGTTTGAACCCCCATTCTCCCAATAAGAGGTGTATGGCCTTTAGCAAGGAATTTAACCTTCCTAAGCCTCAATCTTCTCATCTGTAAAAGGAAGAGAAAAATAAAATAGTTCTGGAGCTGATGTAAGAATGAAAAGATATAATACTGTGTGAAACAATAGTGCACAAATTTTAATTGCTAATCCTGGATGATGATAGCACGGAAGTCTCAGTGTCAGGAACAGGTGAGCATCTTCTGAACAGCTGGTTTGCTTTCGCCTTATTTATACCATGAAATGTGTAATTGCTCAGGTCTTTCCTGAGACACTGGGGGCCAGAGCCACACTTCTGCTCTACTTATAAATGAGCCAGACTCTATGAAATGCATGTTTGTGTTAGCCTCATTCTTGGCTCTATTTTCTGCCTCTACCTCTTATTTTCTTTTATTCCTCACTTAATTTAGACATATGTAACTGCTATGAACTGAATGTTTGCGTCCCTCCCAAATTCATATTTGAAGCCCTAATCCCCAGTGTGATGGTATGTGGAGGTGGGGTCTCTGAGAGGTAATAAGGTCATAAGGGTGGAGTCCTTGTGATGGAATTAGTGCCTTTAAAAGAAGAGATAGGAGGGCTTCCCTGGTGGCGCAGTGGTTGAGAGTCCGCCTGCCGATGCCAGGGGACACGGGTTCGTGCCCCGGTCCGGGAAGATTCCACATGCCGCGGAGCGGCTGGGCCCGTGAGCCGTGGCCGCTGAGCCTGTGCGTCCGGAGCCCGTGCTCCGCAATGGGAGAGGTCGCGACAGTGAGAGGCCCGCGTACCGCAGAAAAGAAAAAAAAAAAAAAAGAAGAAGAGATAGGAGAGAAATGAGCTCTCTCTCTGCCATGTAAGGATACATCACGAAGGTGGCCACCTACAAGCCAGGGGGAGGGCTCCCACCAGAGCTAAACTGTACTTGCACCCACAACTTCTTTAGCCTCCAGAACTATGAGGCATAAATTTCTGTTGTTTAAGCCACCCAGTCTGTGGTATTTTTGTTATAACAGCCTCAGCTGATCAAGACAGAAATTCTGTTATGTTTTGAACCATCTTTTGTCCTTCGATAAATGCAGTAATGCACAGATAGATGACAGACAGACAGATATAGAAAAGTGAAAAAATGGTTGGAGAATGGACCTAGTAAATGTAGATAGGATAATAGATAGGAGATAGATACTTTCCTCTTGTCTTTTCCTTTATGCTGTGTTGATTTGCTTGTTCACTTGACTATATTAATCATTATGGGGTGTAGGGCAGTTGAAATAGAACCACAAAGACTGGTCCTGGTCAGGGCCTCTGCCCTTGTAAGTAGAATAATACTGAACCACTGACTCACCCTCTCTGAGCTTCCGTTTCCTCTTCTAAAGAACCTACATGACACTACCCACCTCGGGGCTGCTGTGGGAATTAAGTGAGAGATGTACTTGAAAGTGACCAGCATACGGTAGGTGCTCAATGAAGGTGAATTTGAATCTCGATGGCAG